TCGTCTAGGTATACTGCATGTCTTGATCGGACCTCCGGTTATTTCTGTACGACAAAATATATTTCGTCTCACTTTACCCAAAGGTCTTCTACTGTATATCTCAAACACCTCTTAATCTTGTACCGGTGGAACAACAAGAAGAAGATAAAGCTCGAATGGGAACTGAGAAAGAAGAGAGGCGTGGGGCGTGATTTCCAAAATGTGGAATTCTCTTCTCTTCCCATGAGCTTAATGATGTATATATAGAGCTACAGTAGGGATCCTTAGGAGATTAGGATTAGGGCTCCTTAATTAATTAAAATACTTGTGGACCAAGCCACTTATTTTAATTAATTAAATAATATTAAATAAGCCACCAACATAATATTATTGCACTCCCTTTTCCTAGCCTAATTTACAATTGAGACTCCAATAATAATTACTCGATTTATCTCCTCATGTTTAGGATATAATGTCCATTAATTAATTTGATTACTGACAATCAAGAATTAATTAATTTATTACTATTTTACCGAAGCTAGCGCTCGTTCATCACATTATTACTATGCCGGAATTTAATCCACCTGCAGGGTTTAGCATAATAATCCTTCACGAACTCACTCCGGTGACATTATCAAACGCACATGGTGACCGTAAATATCCTAACATCACATCCTACATGTAGCAATATTACCCAAGACAGGGAGTCCTGGCCCAGTTCACTAAGCCTCACCCATGTGAATCAAAGTAATAAATACTACACATATATGTCTGTTTAATATCTTACGGGTTAAGAGTACGCAGTAATTAACCGATGCCTAATTCGTTTACGACGATCAGTATTGATATGGGATATTATACCCACAAGGCGGAACCGGTCTGTTGACCGGTCGAGGAAGTCATATTATGAGGAAGCCAAGGAAATCGAGCAGTTAACTAGTCGACCAAGCAGGGCTGTCGACCACACTATCTTTCGACCAGATACGCGATCGAGCAATTTATTCGACCTAAGCAGGTCGATTACTTCGGGGACTTAACATCACGCTGTTCGGCCTAGTCATAGGCGCGTGAAGGAAGCCTCTGACAGAATCCCAGGAGAATATTTACCCCATGTGCAGGAGGACACGTGTCGAGAAAGCAGTGGTGGATAGCGATAACCACCTCTGACAGCCTACCCCATGTGCAGGTGGACACGCGGCCAAAGAGGATTGGTGCAGGCGATAGTGGCGACGGCCGCCTCTGACACACGCGTTTGGTGTGTACGGACGGGCAGCTAGGGCAGACAGCTCACCAAATCCGGGCAGCCCTAGGTCAGGTATCTCACCCTTATATAAAGGGGGTGAGCCTTTCTTCTTCAACACGATCATTCCATTACTCTTGAGAATTGATTGAATATACACTGACTTAAGCATCGGAGGCTCTTCACCGGAAAACCCCTCCGGTGTGAGAGTTCTTTGTAGGTACACGACGTTCAACCGGCGAGAAGGAAGGCGATTACTCAAGTTCCAGCCGGTCGAGGAGTTTTGTGTTACCAAGTATAAAACGAATTGCTCCTCTGGGATCCTGTTCAATACATAAATGTACTAGTGCAACTAATCAGTCAAGACAAACTGTATAGTTGACACTACAACCGTTCATGATGGGGTGTTCATGTCCATCTGGGTTGTGAACCACTTATTCTTGTTTCGCGAGTAACTGATAGCATGATCTTCGGTTCGCCCGATGACGACCCACACTATCTAATGCAAAACAACAGAACGTAGAACTTGTTTAATCTAACATGTTTCTCATTCATAAAGGGTAAAAGTGTAATGTCATCCAAAGCCAAGCTTGCAGTATATAACACTAACACTTTGGCGGGCCGTGTCACACTTACCCAGTCAGTGATTAGTTCCTTACCTTAATTCTCCATTCAAGCTACTATGTTACCTTGCGCAATTACCGAGGGCCTAGAACGTCGCAGCCGGGCTTTTGTTTGGGGTGGTAATGCCGAGACACGGAAAATTCATTTAGTTGCTTGGAAGGATGTGTGCAAACCTAAAGACGAATGTGGTCTAGGCATAAAGAACCTACGCAAGATGAACCATTCTTTATTGATGAAGCTCCGGTGGGGCCTCCTCTCTAATAGTAACGCGCTTTGGGCCCGAATTTTATTTACCATGTATGGTCTCGACCTCTCGTACAGAATGGATACTAATCGATGTCGCCAGGGATCCCCACTAATGCGAGCACTGTCTAAGATATGGACCGAGATAATGAAAGAGACTCAGTGGAACGTCGGCAATGAGGAAACAATGCGGTTTTGGCTTGATAATTGGTTGGTACCAATCGGCCTACTTATTTATCATGTCAATCGGAGGCCGCCCGAAGAGCATATTAGCCTGAAAGTCGTGGACTATGTCAATGACCGAGGTGGCTGGAATTGGAACGAGTTCCATGGAATTCTTCCCTCAGCCATTATCATGCGGTTTGCTGGGGCAGTCCCACCGAGAGAAGAAGCCGGGGAGGTGGAGTGCTTCTCATGAAGGGCAATTCTCTACGCGGTCGGCTTACACATCTTTAACTCAGCCGGTGAGTGACTCAGATAAACCTCTTTGGAAGATAATATGGAAATCTCATGTCCCGCAAAGAGTCCGGACCTTCATGTGGTTGGCTACCCGTGAACGACTGTTGACCAACGGCGACCGAGTCCGGCGACACCTCGTTAGCTCGGCGGCGTGCGACACGTGTGATGCGACCGAAACAACGTTGCACGTGCTGCGAGACTGCCCATCTGCTAAAACATGTGGCGTAAGTTCATCCCAACAGCCTCAGAGGATCGATTTCTCCAATAAGAGCTTCGGCTGTGGTTGATGTCCAATTTAAGTGGTGCGCCGATGAACAAGTACATAAACTGGAATAGCTTGTTTGCGTTTGGGATATGGAGTTGCTAGCAATGGCGGAATGACAAAATTTTTAACGGCCGGATGCTCGGATGTGAGGCTCGCTTTCGAGATATTATCCATAAATCTGAATCGTATGAAAAGGCGGCTGAGAACTACGCGAAGGCGGGAGCGACTCTATATTCTATGTGCATGATTAAGTGGAACCCACCGGACTCGGGATGGGTCAAAGTTAACATGGACCGTTCATTCGCACTACCGGGCTGTGTAGTGCGGGGGGAGTCCTCCGAAATGAGTTTGGTAGATGGATTGAAGGATTTGTTATGAATATTGGGATTGGTACTATCACCGGAGCCGAACTTTGGGGCTTATTTCAAGGCCTACAGCTGGCTTGGGACTTGGGATTTCTACAGGTTGTAGCTGAGATTGATAGCCAGTGTGTGCTGCAGATGGTTACTGGCTCACACGCTCATTTTGGAGTCCATGAATCCTTAGTCAGAGCCATTCGATCTTTAGTCGAGTGAGAATGGAGCATTCGAATTCAGCATGTACATAGGGAAACCAACTTTGCGGTGGATCATATGGCGACTCTAGCGGCCTCGTTCCCATTAGGAGTACAGAGAATCTCGTTCCCTCCCTAAGGACTGAATGCATGGATTGACCATGACTTTTGTGGGGTGACTCACCCCGTTGTGTTCTAGTATCGTAGTTCTCAGGCCTCTGGCCTCCATCTTTGTACCGAAAAAAAAGAAGGAAATATGAGAGTTCTTTACAGGCAACACGTGGCTTGTTTGTCTTGCTTCCTTTGGCCTCCTTCTTGTCCTCCCGTCTTTTTCGGTTAAATTTTGAGAAAAATACTATGTTGGTCATTTTCTCTCTTTTTTTCTAAAACATTTTGCTATTTTTTGTTGGCCATTCATTTTGTTTGACTTTTAAAGATAAGAGATGTGTCGGGAAATTTCTCAATTCGTCTCAAATGTCGTTCACACACAACACGTAGAGTCGCAGTAGCAGCCCTATTCATTGGAATCGCACGGAAATCCAACCATCCTAATAAAGACAAGGTATTGTTCAAGGCGGCGGAGTCCGACTCACCGTCAGCCGACTCGGTGGATTCTCCTCCTCCGCAAACCCTAGGTTCTTCGATCGGAGTTTGTCGTCTGCCGTCTCTGATTTGCGCCACCCTATTTCCCGGCGATGGAGTTAGGCCTGACATCGCCGCCTTCAATTTCATGTCATATGTTTCAATTTTTTCATTTTTTTTTTGTTTTGTCGGTTATTTTTGCATTTTCGGTTTCAATTTAAGATGTAAATTGCTCGATCGTCAGTCGTGATTTATTTTTTGTGCTACTGTGTGGTGTTCGTCTTCGAAGGTAATGGTGTTCGTCTTTGAAGGCAAGACCTCTTAATCTTTGCCCTAAACTGATATTTATTTAAATTTAATATCTTTAGGGTTTTTGAATTTGATAGTGTACATGTATGCAGATCGTTGATGAGTTCATCGAGAGATGAGTGGACAACAAACGGTACAAATAATTTCTTAGAAATCTGGTTGATATTGGACTCTGAAATTAAGAATTTCATTATGAGCTATGTAACTGAGACCATCCCAAACTAACGGGATCAAATTTACAATTTCCTCAACAATATCGATACTACTAAGTTATAAATATATCGATCCTATAATTTTACGCATATATTTGCAAGCCAATACATTAATGACTTGACGTTTTGGGCTGATGTAGGTGTTAGTCTTGATAAAGCCCAGATTTAGGCACTTGTCAGACGTGCATCGGCGCCCAATACTCTGCTCCACATTAATGTTGGCCCATTGAACCACCTTATTATCCACAAAAACACTTTAAAAGCGCACCATCTTGTAAACACATTATTCCTTCTCCCGGCGTAAAGGTAAACCCTCTCTCTCTCTCTCTCTCTCTCTCTCTCTCTCGGCGACGACTGAGGCTAATCGCGATCATGACAAGTCCGCTCACAAAATTCCTTCAACACGCTGTAGATTTTATGTGAGTAATTCTCTTGCAAAAACTATTACATATAGTATGGTTAATTCATGAGTTGATTGTCCGCCTTTGCATCTCAATTATTATCTTGTTTGATTTGAATTTGTGCCATGTGTAGGGAATCTCCTCGTTCCACTGTCTTCTTACGAAGTAAGATTGTTAATGTTAAGTGTGTGTGTGTGTGTGTGTGTGTTTGCTCGTTGTCAAATTAATCTATTCAATGTGCTCTACTCTTTAGGAAACTTGGGTTTGTGCGTGGCTTTGCCTTCGGCATTGTATGCCGGCTTCTTGTACGTGTGAGTGATAGCTCGTTTCCCAGCCCGACCATTGTTCAACTTACTCTTCCGCCCTTTTCTTTTTTTCACTGACTAATTTGCTCTACTAACTGCAGCATGGATTTTGATGGTGATTGGTATGTAATCTTATATCCACTTTCGTGTTAGTTACTTGGTTTTTATTGTTTGCAATATATTCTCATTACACTCTAGGATTTTTCAAGTAAGAGTTCTCCCATTGCAGGAAACGAGTGGCTGCAAAACACCGAATTGCTAAGTGAGTATACGTATCTTTCTTTTTTTCTTGTATAAAAAAAAAATGCGAGATATTCGATTTTTCTTTTGTTCTCTAACTCTATCCCATAGGTACATTAGAATTTTTTCTTCTGCATTCATTTGATCTTATTCCGTCCACATTCTTTAATCTTTATACCTCACAAGGAAAATATTTTCTTTGGATCCCAAAATCGGCAGTCAATATGCAGTTAATCATTGTGCCTTTAGTTTTCTTTTCAGGACGAGTCTCAAGCATTTTTATGTGAAGTTGTGTTGGGCTTGTTGACATCTTTTCAATCGAAGCTATATCATGTTGTCTGTTGTCACATGATTTATCTCCTCTTGGATATTCTCTGTTGTTAGGTTAAAGAAGTAAGGTGTTTTTGGTTGTTTTGTCACTGATGTTTGTTGATAAACTATTGGCAGGGAGGAAACAAAAAAATTCATTGATGACGAGAGGAAGTCAAGGTTCGAGTATATGATTTATCATTCTCTGTTGTTAGGTTGAAGGTGTTGTTGGTTGTTTTGTGACTAATGTTTGTTGATAAACTATTGGCAGGGAGGAATTGGAACGTTCTATTACGAGGTATGCATGTAGTTCCTTATTAGTCTTATACCTCAACGATTTAAAAAACACAAAACTTAAAGCCAATCTTGGCTACAATGGTTTTGACTCTAAGAAATCATGTAGAATACATGAGAGCGACTTGGTCACAAGTCTATTCTATTGGGTTATTTTTTTCAATATAATATATATTTATATTATTGTGTTTAGATATACTGTAAAATCAAAACCGAATTCATTATTTCTGCCAGTTTGAACACCCCTGGTTATAATTTCCTATGAGTAAAATCGTGGATTGGCAAATCCTTTGGTTTGTTATCATTATTATGTGAGTTTTGATACATGAGAAGTTTTCTGTACAACTTAGGTTACAAGCAGAAGTCGAAAGTGAAAATGCGAAGAGCAGCGGCAAGTAATGGAGTCTGAAGCTGGGCTGGTTCTCTAATTATTGTAGTCCCTGATGGCTGAAAACCTATGCTTTTGTGGACATGGGGTATGAGAATATGTTAGACTAGCATCTCTTTACTTGTTTGGTCTTATGCGGTGGCATAACCATTTTTTCTTTGTCATGTGGCCTTCACCTGAATCTTTGGATTCTTGCATTTCGTGCTATTAGTTATGAGTTTATGACTTTATGTTGGACTTTCTTATTATCTTTAGTGACTTTTTTTTTTATTGTCACATAAGCTAGACCATGCCCATCTTTAATTGCATTGAGAGACATTTTTTAATAGACTAAGTCTATTTCATATATGACATATGATATTTTATTAAGAGACCCAATGCATTGTGGGTGCTCTCACCGGAGAGTTCACTGTCCTTTGTCGAGTTGGGGTATTTGTGTCTTTCGATTAATCTCCCTTTTTCAGATCTCTTCCCTTTGTCCCGAGCTAGTAGTATCCTTTTTTATTGTCTCTTACCCAATCTTTACTTCTCATTCTGTCCTCTGTGTGAGGGGATCCTCGTCCCCTGGAGGAGCTTCTTGGAGCATTACCATCAATAGTTGCTGGATCGCTTCAAGAATTTCAAAGTAGTTCTTGCACTGGCTGGTGCCAGCCGCTCGACAATACCTGGAGCTCGGCATCGAGCGTGATATGGGCCAAGCTGTTGTCGGTGGCTATGACGGCGACTGACGAGGATATGATGTGGCAAGGCCTCCCCTACCCCAATGGTTGCTATGGTAACTCAGATGAGCCTCGCGAACACGCCTTGTGGGAGCCCGCCATACCGGCGGTTAAGTGACACTTGAGCTGGGCTGTGAACACTTCCCTGTGCTCCCTCCCGTTCGGTAGTCTTGTTATTTCTTTGCTTGTAACTGAACCACCCAAACATGGGTCGTATGTAATGACTTTATCATTGTAATGAAACATTCATTTCTTATCTCTTGTTGTTGTGCATTGCATACTTGTTCTTGTTTCAGTCATCTTGGAAACGTGATCTTAATTCGTGTAATAACTTTTTTTTTTTGTTGCACAAAATTAACTCGCTTAATAATCTAATTAAACAAACTTATTCGACTAAACCATACAAAATGAAGCTAGATACTAAGAAATGCAAACTTTAAGCTCCTATTAAGTATCCTGTTACCATTCATAAAATATCAAAGAAAAAA